TCTGCAGGTTTGCTGCGGCGGGGGTATTTTGTTGTAGGAGGCGTTGCCGCTAGTACAGCAGTTCTACAACTCGCACAACCGTCTAGTTGACTGGATGTTGGGAGCCGAGGGACAACTGTCTGTCTCTGAGCCTCGTGAGGACGACATTCAACGACTCGAACAGGACATTCAAGGTTGGTGTTTCTCATGTTAACAGACTTCTGGGGCCAACCTAACAAGAATAAATTGATTTTAGCGAATTTCCCTATAGGGAAGTAGCTATTACCATAGGTGGCACGGTAAGACCTAGACCCGGGACCGATTTACTTTTTCATTTTGATGTCCCCATAGGCCAAAAACACCATTCGTTAAAATTTTCTATATATATATATATATACGTCCATGAACGCGATAACTTGAGTAATTTTTGTCCGATTTTGATGAAATTTGGTTTAAAGCGGGATAAACTTGAATGAGTTCACGAACCAGTACGATCGGACCATGGGAACGGGGCTTTACGGGGGGTTTTATGGGGTAAAAATTGATTTTTCTCACTTTTAACCCTCAAAACACAAAATTTCCCGATTTCTCTTTAGACCTTTTTAAAGAGCTTAAAAAAACAAATAATTTAGTACGTAAAAGTATTTTTGTTCGATTATTAGCAACGGATAAAATTGTAAATTAAAAATGCCCATGTTATTCTTATGGAGAATATTGTCAAATGTTGTAGTTTGCTTGTTTATGGATATATTTTGATCAAACTTCGCAAATTTATTTATTCTGTACTAAGCTATCAATATTTTACTCAAAAACACACTTTATTAGTTTCCTTGTAGCAGCAAACCTAGGTACTCGTTAAACCTAATGTTATTAGAATATATTTAACTGAAAATCAATTCAGACAAATGGAAATTCGCTTAGTCGGCAGGTTTGCTGCGGCGGGGGTATTTTATACTTAAAATTTAAACTAAAGTTATTTGCTTTGTCATACTCTAAAGGTTTATTATAACTGAAAGATGCGGTGTCCAACTACCTATCAAGTAAATTTAAACTCCTATTCCATGACTTATTTGCAATTTTAAATCAATTAGTCGAAATGTGTATGGAAATTCAAATACACTTTTTATCCCCTTTACTTGTAATCATAAGTCTTAATTTGTTTTTTAAACTATAACTAGCACTAAACATTCTTTTAAATGAAAACCTTGGTGGATGGATATCACATAAAGGAGTTTACTAAAACACTAGTTTACACTATCTGTTGGCGATTAATTTTATGCCTTTAAGGACAACGGGGGAAAAGTCAGATAGAATCCTATTACATTTCTCTTTTCCCATATAGGTAAAGCTATTTATTTCATTTAGCAGCTATAATTAACGTTTGTTTGAAAATTTTTATTACAATCCATATGCTATTTACTGATAAACTGTCTTTACAAATGTATGGTTTAGGTTTTTTGTTCCCACCTGATCCTAATGTGTCTGTGTACAGAGTTCCGCCCAGTTCTGGAGAATATCAACCTAATTGGCCCAGTTCTGGAGAATATCAACCTGATTGACCCACAGTTCTGTCAGATTTCTCCAAGAGAAGGCGCCTCGACCATCAAGGGACTTGTCACCCGAGACAACCGAAGGTTTGATGCCATTGCTGAGCAGATACAGCGCAAGGCCGAGTGCATTCACCTATCTAAACAGGTACGAAAATGCTGTTGTAGCTAATTGTTTATACCTTTATCCATGTGTGCTACCTTCACAAGTGTAAATTGGAAGGTGCAACTTCTTCTTTAAAGCACAAAAAATGTTTATGTTTGCTTAAAACATATCATTTTTCTTCTTAAATAAATATTTCTTAATATATAAAATTAAGAATATTTATTCTTAATATATAAATAAATATTCAGAGATGTCATCTCTACTGCCAACTCTGCGGGATCTGCAGGACAGTCTGCAGGCGCAGGAGCCTCCGGCAGTACGTCCCGAGGAGATACAACAACAGCAAGAGGCGCTGCAGGAGATCAGGGCGGAGATTGACCAGGCTTGTCCACCAGTGGCTTGTGTTCTGTGATGGACTGCACCAGCAGCTAAAACATCGGACACTGGTTAGACAACATATTCTCTGGGGGGTAGTTTGATTGTTAAACTACTAAATATGTAAAATTTAAACTTAAATATCACTTTAGAATTTTATGTTAAGGAAATAAAGAGTTTAATCAACAATTTTTACCTAGCAATAAGAACACAATCACAATAACACGGTCTGAGGATTTGAGGTTAAGTGTGCTAGCTCGACCATATTTGTTGTGTTCAGCTATTGCAATTCCAGTCAATGTTGAGTTTATTAACTAGTCTTCTTCTAGTTCCTTTTGATCTGAATTAGAAACGTCTTGAAACGTATCCTTAATTGATCAGTAATTAAATATACCCACAATATAATATTTTAGGGATTAAAAATCAAAACACTAAAGTCTTTGTGTTGTTTTACTTATTGGTAGGAAATGGTCTGCAAATTCCCTCCAACAACATATACATACCATCACCAAAAATGAACTTCAAACAAAGAATATTTGTGTTAGTTCTTATAAACACTACATCAAGGTATGGGGAAGCGACCTAAACAGGAAGGACCGAAACACCACTCTCTACCACTTAAACAAGTAGTAGAGGGTTTCGGTCCTTGAGTTCTAGGTTCAAATCCCACCAATAAGCAATAGATTTTAGCTATGTGATGATGCTCAAGACTTTTTAAAACAGTTCCAGGCTGTAGCCTAGCATCCTAGGATATAAAGGAAGGATTAGAAAAAAATGTTGGAAGTCAGGTTACCTCGTTCTTGTCCTGTTGCTGGGCTATGAGATCTGGCCGCAGCGCAGGCATGGCCAACATGCTCACGTGACGTTCCATCTCGTCGAGCCAGGTGCTCAGTTCCGTGTTACACTCCAAGAAATGCTCAGCAAGCGCCAACGCCTGCTTAAGTATCTCCAGTCGGTCTCGGGAGAGACTTGAGACTGTCTCCATGTTCTCTCTAAGGTCCTCCATTTTTTTTTCTGATGGTGCTGGTGTCCTCGTGTTGAGCTATCTCTCGCAGCACCTGCGTAACACAATGTTTAGCTTATATGTTGCTTTTTGCTTTTTTTTTATTTGAATTATTCTGCAGCTTTATGAGTTTTTTTTTGTGGAAATTAACTCCAAAGTAGAAAGTTAAAGTAAAAAATTAAAGCAAGAGAAATTTTGGTTCTATACTTACATACCAAATTACATTGATTTGAACCAGTAATGAGACATCCATCTTTGTTAAAAATCACTACAAAACCCACCTTTTACACTCAAGAAACGCCAAAACGATTATTTTCACCAAAAAGTCAAACTAAAACAACACTACCTCAGTAAACTAACATAAAATGGGAGAAAGTCAAATAGGCTGCAACTGTATCCATCTATACCCATGTTAGTTATAGATCTCCTCTAACTAGTCTATGTTAGGATACTTCAATAGAGTCAAAACCACCCACCTTCTTGGCAGTAGAGATGACATCTCTGACTGGTGACTTCTGACTGCCGACTGCCGACTGCCGATGCCAGCTCCTTGAGCTGCACTCGGATGACATCAGGGTCTGCACTCGGAGGTTTAGCATCTCTCAGTTGCGCCTCCACCTCTCGGAACCAGTCCAGCAACTCGTCAATGTCTCCGATAACTTCCATGGAACGCTGCAGAACAGTAACAGCTGGTTAGTAATGTTCTGTAGTGAAGTGTTTGTATGTTCAATTCAAACAGATGTGTTACAGAATGTCTACTGGTTTTCTAAAGAAAATATATAACTTTTCAAAGATCTATTTTTATGAAGTTTTTTCTTCATAAGCTTAGTTCATCTATAACAATATGCATGAGAGTATTTAAACTGCACAACTTCTTTTTGTTTCAACTAAAAAAACATATTATAATTTAATAATAACATACATAATTTAGTAAACAAAGCCACTTTTCCCTTTTTGCTCCTCATGCTGGTGAATGAAAAATAAATTTGCTTGTTTCTCAAATGGAACCTCAATAAAAAGTCGCTTTTGATAAAAAATGTGTCATTTTCAAATCCCCTAGAATTTATTTTTCCCCTAATCACACATTGCAAAACTCTATTAAGAAGAAGAAGTCAACCTTGCTAACAAGTCTTATTTAATTATCCCCATGAGAGTCTTGTTATCGAGGTTCCTCTGTATATTAATTTTGGCCCAGTTACAAATACATGACTGAGAATCCCTTAAAGTTCAAATCAATGATCAGTACACCCCATGAGTTAATTACTGGAGACCAAATTATTCTGAACAACATTACTAAAGAAGAAATATTTATTTAAGAAGAAAAATTATATGTTTTAAGCAAACATAAACATTTTTTGCGCTTTAAAGAAGAAGTTGCACCTTTCAATTTACACTTGTGAAGGTAGCACACATGGATAAAGGTATAAACAATTAGCTACAACAGCATTTTCGTACCTGTTTAGATAGGTGAATGCGCTCGGCCTTGCGCTGTATCTGCTCAGCAATGGCATCAAACCTTCGGTTGTCTCGGGTGACAAGTCCCTTGATGGTCGAGGCGCCTCCTCTTGGAGAAATCTGACAGAACTGTGGGTCAATCAGGTTGATATTCTCCAGAACTGGGCCAATTAGGTTGATATTCTCCAGAACTGGGCGGAACTCTGTACACAGACACATTAGGATCAGGTGGGAACAAAAAACCTAAACCATACATTTGTAAAGACAGTTTATCAGTAAATAGCATATGGATTGTAATAAAAATTTTCAAACAAACGTTAATTATAGCTGCTAAATGAAATAAATAGCTTTACCTATATGGGAAAAGAGAAATGTAATAGGATTCTATCTGACTTTTCCCCCGTTGTCCTTAAAGGCATAAAATTAATCGCCAACAGATAGTGTAAACTAGTGTTTTAGTAAACTCCTTTATGTGATATCCATCCACCAAGGTTTTCATTTAAAAGAATGTTTAGTGCTAGTTATAGTTTAAAAAACAAATTAAGACTTATGATTACAAGTAAAGGGGATAAAAAGTGTATTTGAATTTCCATACACATTTTGACTAATTGATTTAAAATTGCAAATAAGTCATGGAATAGGAGTTTAAATTTACTTGATAGGTAGTTGGACACCGCATCTTTCAGTTATAATAAAACTTTAGAGTATGACAAAGCAAATAACTTTAGTTTAAATTTTAAGTATAAAATACCCCCGCCGCAGCAAACCTGCCGACTAAGTGAATTTCCATTTGTCTGAATTGATTTTCAGTTAAATATATTCTAATAACATTAGGTTTAACGAGTACCTAGGTTTGCTGCTACAAGGAAACTAATAAAGTGTGTTTTTGAGTAAAATATTGATAGCTTAGTACAGAATAAATAAATTTGCGAAGTTTGATCAAAATATATCAATAAACAAGCAAACTACAACATTTGACAATATTCTCCATAAGAATAACATGGGCATTTTTAATTTACAATTTTCTCCGTTGCTAATAATCGAACAAAAATACTTTTATATAATAAATTATTTGTTTTTTAAGCTCTTTAAAAAGGTCTAAAGAGAAATCGGGAAATTTTGTGTTTTGAGGGTCAAAAGTGAGAAAAATCAATTTTTACCCCATAAAACCCCCCGTAAAGCCCCGTTCCCATGGTCCGATCGTGCTGGTTCGCGAACTCATTCAAGTTTATCCCGCTTATTTAAACCAAATTTCATCAAAATCGGACAAAAATTACTCAAGTTATCGCGTTCACGGACGTATATATATATATATATAACTTATATGTCTATATATATATATATACATATATAAAAATTTTAACAAATGGTGTTTTTGGCCTCTGGGGACATCAAAATGAAAAAGTAAATCGGTCCCGGGTCTAGGTCTTACCGTGCCACCTACGGTAATAGCTACTTCCCTATAGGGAAATTCGCTAAAATCAATTTATTCTTGTTAGGTTGGCCCCAGAAGTCTGTTAACATGAGAAACACCAACCTTGAATGTCCTGTTCGAGTCGTTGAATGTCGTCCTCACGAGGCTCAGCCACAGACAGTTGTCCCTCGGCTCCCAACATCCAGTCAACTAGACGGTTGTGCGAGTTGTAGAACTGCTGTACTAGCGGCAACGCCTCCTACAACAAATAAACAACAACAATGGTTAGTAAAACAAGACGTAGAACTGCTTTGAAGTTAAGATGTGATTTTTCTTTCAGCTATCCTCTGGAAAAGTCCTTCACTAAACAAGCAAAATAATGTGTCGTGGAAGTACAGGGAGCGGCCTTTTCATCGACCGCGACAACCCCTATCTCAGTGCAAGTACTGATGGCCTTCTGAATGAAGATTGAAATTAAATGTCCATCTTCTGCTATGACACCAAAAATCCGAAAAGCCGAAATGTACATGGCTTTAAATATCTACCTTCTTGATTGCATTGGAACACCATTGCCGGAACATCTAAAACAAATATTATATTTTGTTAGAATTCTTGCATAAACTAATCCTATGCAAACATCATAAATGGAAGTAACAAACACTAGGTAACTTACTTTTAGTAAAACTATTTAAAATAAAAAGATTAAATTATTATCTAGGACTATTATTTACTTTATTTTATTTAATTTTTATTTAATTGCTACTATTTTTTTAATTTAATTACTTACCATTAAATTTTTTTTTGAAGTAGTGTTGTGCTAGGTATTTATTATTTAGTTAAACTATTTATCTATGATTTAATTGTTCATCCAGCTGACTTGCATGGAAGTTTTTAAAACATATTGAGTTTATATAGCTTGTAAATCTTACTACATCAATACCATAGATTAAACATACTCCCTTTAAGCACAGAAAACATACTACTATAACCCAGAATGCCAACCGCATGGTAAAAACTAAAAAGCGTTAAGTGCTTTGAGAGAGCTTTGCCTGTCAGTTCGTAGGCAGCGCCACCAGCGTTGCAATGCACTCAGCATAGCCATTAATTTCCCATATAGGGAATAAGCTATTACCTTAGGTCATTTTTTTTTTTTTTTTTGCTTTGAGGTCCCCAGAGGCCAAAAACACCATCTGTTCAAATTCATATATATATATAAATATATTTATTTATTTATGTTTTCTTGCATGTTCAGGGCTACTAATATAACTAGGATTGCTTTCAGAGAGGAGAAAGCCAGTTGAGCGGAGCAAATGTGATTTGATATTTGTATAAGTAACTAAATTTTAAAAAGTCAATAGATGTTACAACAAAAACATTGGACTTCATTTTTCACCCTTATGAAATTGGTTAAAAGTATTTAAGTATAAAAAAACAGTAACTATTAAAAAAGCAGTATTTAAGTATAAAAACAGGAGGGGAAATTGGACATTTAAATTAAACTGTGCAACATAAACATTTGTCTTCATTTCAACCCTTGCAGTCTTTAAACTCAGCTTTCTTTGCTGGAAAGAATTTATGATTGTGTATTCTTTTGGAGGATATGATTGTAATGTAACTGGAATGTAGGCCTTCTACCAATATTAGAACGATTTAGAGATGACATTTTAATACCGGCCTTAATAAAACATAGGCCTACGAAAAATGTAGGCCTATTTTAATGTAAAAACTAAAATGTAAAACACCTTTAAAAGACTAAAATGAACAGAATTATCAATCATGTATTTCAATGTAAAACAAAAACCTAAAAACTGCAAAAAGACTATCGAACAATAAAATAACATGGCTTAAAAGTATGCCTATAAATTACTAAAGTAAAAAGTAAACATCACATTCAGCTAAGTGAAGTGAAAAAAAAATAATAATAAGAAGGGAAATGCATTAAATAGACAATGTAGATTTGGTCTCTAATTACGTCATCGTATTTTTTCACAACAAAGGCCTAATCCAAATAACCCAAATTAATCAGCCTAATTCAGAAATATTCTTACAATTTTTAGCGTATTTTGCGTTGTTTATTAGACGTTTAAAATATATTTTTATTAGCTAATTTCCCTATAGGGAAGTAGCTATTACCGTAGGTCTCATTGTAAGACCTAGGCCCGGGACCAATTTACTTTTTCATTTTGATGTCCCCAGAGGCCAAAAACACCATCGTTCAAATTTATATATATATATACTAGCTGACCCAGCGAACTTCGTCTCGCCTAAGTTATAGGTTTCCCCTAAGACAGACCGAAGGAAAGAAAGTACCGTTACGTTTAATTAATTTTCAAGATGATCTCGTTCGCATCGCTCAATCACGTCCTCCTGGTTGAAGTTCGTTCGCTACGCTCACTCACCTTTTGGTTGAAGTTCGTTCGCTACGCTCACTCACCTTTAGGTTGGAGCTCGTTCGCTACGCTCACTCACCTTTAGGTTGGAGCTCGTTCGCTGCGCTCACTTGCCTTCAGGTTAGCTCGTTCGCTACGCTCACTCGCCTCCAGGTTGAAGTTCGTTCAGGTTGGAGCTCGTTCGCTGCGCTCACTTGCCTTCAGGTTAGCTCGTTCGCTACGCTCACTCGCCTCCAGGTTCAAGTTCGTTCGCTACGCTCACTCACCTTTTGGTTGCAAATTAGCTGTTGTCATAAATGTAAAAGAAATAATAGTGCTGCACCCTGTTGGTAATCCTTGTAACTTTAATGCTATTGAACATCATAGAACAGAACCAACTTGTTTAATTGAAACAGCTGTTAAGATTCATTAATTCCATTTCTCATAAGGTTAACATGGGAAACTCCAGAGCCACTGGGGCGGAGCCCTTTTAAGAATTTCGAAACGGGAAATAGTTTACGTCCGATTCGCATACCTACAGAATTTACACACCAAATTTCATAACGATCGGTGAAGTCGTTCCGGAGGAGTTTGCAGACAAACACTGTGACACGAGAATTTTATATATTAGATATATATATATATATATGTCCATCCGCACAATAACGAGTAATTTTCGTCAAATTTTGATAAAATTTGGTTTAAAGGTGTGAGGTGGGATAAACTTGAATGAGTTCGCGAACCAGCATGATCGGACCATGGGAACAGGCAGGGGCGTCGCCTTGGGGGGGGTAGGGGGGGGAGCCTCCCCCCCCTAGAATCTGGGAAAGAGAAAAGTTGGGAATTTCCTTGCCATGAGTTGGGACAGTTGGGAAGTCGGATACAAGAAAAATATATTTTTAAACTAAACAAAATTTAAATATTTGCAAAAATCCATCAAAGGGAAAAATTTCTTTGACTTGGACAAATAAACTTGACGCTTCTTTGATTTAATTTAACTTTGATTAAACAAGGCTAAACCATGGCTAAACACGCCTTATTTTAAGAAATCAATAATCAATTAGCGGTAAAGCTTGTTGGAATTTCGTTTACGAGAAATTTTGTTCCTTATTGGACGCATGTTGGGTACCTTGATCCTGTCCTGTGTTGATTATTCTGAATGATTCGTCTGCAAGTTTGAATTTTGAAAGTGCAAGCAATGTAGCTCTTCTGTTCAATTATGTTGTTTGTTAGTGTTTACAAGAAATTCAAAAATATTTTTCACGTCAGTCACATGAAATATATTTTATACCTTTTTTGTGGTATTTGGAGCAGGCTAACTGACCGGAGTACTTGCTAATAAGCAGATTAAAATAACATTAAACATAGGTTTTGTGTATCGGTATTACCTTTAAAACTCTTATTTTTTAATAAACTAAATGGAATATTTATTCTCTGAATATATTTTAAAAATCTACACAAGTTATTTAACACTCCTAATTAAGGATTTACAAAAATGAATCAACTAATCACTCTGAAACAGATCTACGTGGACAAAACATAACCTAAAATTTGATGTTTGACTTTCACTCTAAGTTTGATTTTTGTCTAAGTTCTAGTTTGATGAAGATGAAGGTTAACATTTTTATTGTATGTATAAGTTTATTATCAACCAAGTTGAACGTTTTTATTTTATACGAGTCTTACTTTAGGTTTATTCCTTTCTAGGCTAGAGTAATATTATTCACAACACTGATATTAATATTTCATCATTACAAACTTGTTTAGGCCTACCCTAGCTGTAAGTTTTATGAAAGTTAAAATGTTGATCTTAACTTCTAAAATTATTTTAATTTCATTATTTTGTAATAAAATATATTTTCTATACCCACTAATTTGTACTCTGAGGCTTATTTTATATCACTAAAATTTTACACTGCTACGTCTGCTACCACAATGGTTTTTAAAGTTTTTTGGATTCGAAACATTACTTGTTCAAGCTTTTTGAAGTCATAAAATTTCATTATGAATTGGTAGAAGTTTTAGAAATTGAGTAATTTTGTATAGGATGTAAAACTAGCTATGTTTTGTTAATGCGAGTTTATAAATACTGAATTGAATGTTACTGCAGTGTAGTATAATAATTTGTAGATTTTTAAAAATAGTACCGGTACAGAAATTGATTTAAAAAAAAAAAATAGTTGGGAAATCTATGTTAGGCAGTTGGGAAATTTGAGGCTTCTCCCCCCCCTGGAATTTAACCAAGCAACGCCACTGGGAACAGGGTTTAACGAGGGGTTTTATTGGGTAAAATAAATGGGTTGATATCATTTTTTACCCTTAACCCTATATGTTATCTGGCTGGGATCTCAGCTTCTCAGTGGCAGGCCAATTTTACAACATTTGTGTTAGCCACTTTGAAACTAGCAGAGTACCCGTCCTTCGTACGGGGTTGGCATAGAAGTATAAATGCTTATTGCAGTTATGGGAGAGGACACGGTTTAAGGAAATTTGGTCTTTTAATTTATACGGTATCCTATAGTGTATCACACATCTACCATATAGCCCTAGTGTTCTACCACTGCACCTAAACCTTGGAAAAAGTAAAGTTCTCATTGTGTACCACAACTTTTTGTTGCTAGTTGGTTCAAATTAGCTGTTGTAATAAATGCAAAAAACATAGTACCGGTAGTGCTGCACCATTGTCTATATAACACTAGTAGTGTTATATAGTCAATGTTTTAACCAACCACTGGCTTGAATCCCCCCCAAATCATAAAATCCCCCCCCAAATAAAATTCTGATGTCGCATTTTGCGACATCAAACCCCCCTGTGGGCACCCCTGGACCGACTCACCATTTCAATTCTAGGCCGCGGCCTGGGATGGAGCTAAAGTTGGCCAGCAAGCAATTACTTAATCTATATTGCAGACAATAAGCTGCATGGCTCTCATTACGAGCTTTACAGACAATTTTCTTTTAAGAAGAAGAAGAAGAAGAAGTGGTACCTGACATTGATTCCAAGCTGTCACCGTCACCTGTCACTTCCACTTCACTGTCAGTCCCAACAACACATTACATTCATTATTCATTACAACAGTTCATTAGTCAACAAAGTCAATGCCAGGCAGCCAGTGTCAAGTAGTCAAGTCAAATTTGGCATTAGGATAGGACTGACTAGGGCCAGGGGGATTTAGGTTAGCTGAGCAAGGGTGGGTGGACACTGGCCAGATTCATTCAAGAAGAAGCATATAAGACGAAAACTTTAACTTACCTTTGGTTGTTTTAACATTAGAAAAATAAGTTAACGTTTTAATAGCACTGATCTGTATACAACAGGTTGATTAAGTTTTTTCAATAGTTTTATAAATTCTTTTAGGCCTATAGCATAATATTCAAATAAGTAAGTTAATTGCACTCGGTACTAAAAGAAAAGTTATCCCTCAATGATCAAATCAAGTGCATTATTATTTTAATTTAGCCATGGGACAAAGTCTAAGCCAATTCACAGAAGAAGAGTTGCAAGATTATCAGGTAAGTGTACGTTTTGATGTGCAAAACTAAACAAATACCGTAGGTTTACTATGCTTGTCGCTTGTGTCAATTTAGCCATGGTTCAGTTCAAGGTCTTATTTTATTAACTTACCTACTATAGCTCAACTAAATTAGCTAAAATATAAAGAATCAAATTTTGAAAACGCTTCAGTCACAAAGACTAGTGCTTGCAACTACGCTCTGTAAGCTGTGAGATAAACATTTTGGTATTGGCTTCCTAGAAGTGGCCGGATAATCCGAGGGTTGGTAAAACCCGGGGCGAATATCAGGGTACTTATCTGCTGTAGGCCCTAGTAACAAACGAAATGAAGACACAAGAACTGACAAAATAAAATTGTATTATGATTCTTCTTTAACCTAATAAGCTATTTGATAACACATGAATTTTTATATGTAGCCACAAACAAGGGCTGTGCTACAATAAGGGCCATCTTGTTATTTAAGACTTGGGGTAAGTTTTTGTACTGGTCATTTCAAACAGTGTGTAAGTTACACATTTAAACACTTATTTAATACTATTTATTTACTTGCAGAGCATAAGTACGCGTCCGGTAACCTGACGTGGATTACACTTCCGGCAGTTACTGTCATAACTTACCTAACCAACCAAACCTAGGCTACTGATACAGTAGACTCCCTCTTATCCTGACACCTTTTAACTTAACCGGACAATTTTTATCAGCACATTGGTTTAACCGGACTAGATCGGCAGGAAGTGGGCGGTACTGAAACGACTGTTCTCTTGGGAAAGATTTGAGACCATTGATCACGTGTCTAAATACAATAGTCTCCTAAGTTTAAGTTGAATTTTACAGTAAACTGTCCTTTTTAACAAATTTTGGGGACGTCGGTTTAACCAGAAAACCCGTTATCCGGACTGGCTTCGGTTCCGAGGAGTCCGGATAGAGCGAGTCTACTGTAATGAAAAAATCTATTGAAGGTTAAATTCTGTTCATAAAATTATAAATGCCAAAAATTCTAACCAAAGATGTACAGTTAACCCTCCGAGTGTCCCTTGTTTTGGCCTTAATGTCTGCCTATTTTTTGCTCATTTGCAAGGTTTTATTAAAACGGATCTGAGAAGCTTGAAAACAATGTTAATTATACTGTTCTATATACCATTTTGTTTGGAAAATCATGGGCTTCAATATTATACATAGAACATAAGGAACATTTGTTTCAAAAAAATGTTTTAGGTAAAAAAAAAATATTTTGGAAAATTTTCAAAAAAAAAAATAAGTTTGCGCTCAATGAAATTGTATAAATTATAGGCCTATAAATATTTGAAAATAGCCACTTTGTTCTAAATTTTATGAGGATTACAAATATATAATAATATAAGGAAGTAGATTTGCAAATAAATAAGTTATGGGCAAAAAACAGATTTCGGTACATAGCGTTTAGCTAAGAATGCATAGCCTAACCATAGCTAGGAATCTGGCTGATAATTTACATCAATATCACTACCTACTTCCTCAGGATCATCAACCAGCCCTTCAAAATCACTTAAATCTTCTTATAATGCACCACGTATATCACTACTTTTGATTTTTAACACTAAAACAATGATAAACGTAATAAAACACATCAGTCATCGGTCCGAGGATAACCAAGCTGTTTACAAATACGCACATCAGCTGTCTGCTACAATATTTTTGGAACTAAAATGAATAGCGCTTAGAGACAGACCTCCGGAGAAAGCTCTGAATCTGTAAAATAAAACGATACCTAACTCGATCCAGTTCAATCCGATTTCGTCAGTCATAGAGCCTTCGCCGTAAACAGTGTTTGTGAGTCGCTGCAGCGACAAATAACACTCGGAGGGTTAAGAAGAAATGGCATTCAAAGCAAAATCTTTGACAAAAAGTTAAGGTTACCGATTGGTATCGAACCAGGTACCTCTTGCATATCAGCCGAGCACTCTATCCACTACACCACAAACACCAATGGCAGTATATTGTATCGTTGTGGTAATGGCGTTCTGGACCCCCAGAACCCGGTGACATCACTACTGAACGCCTAATCCATGTCCGGTTACCGGACGCGTATATCCTCTATGTTATTTAATATGCTATTTAATATGTTATTTAATATTCATTATACAATATTTTTCAGGATTTGACATACTTTACAAAGAAAGAAGTATTGTAGTAAGTATCTAATTGTTAAGTCTAGTCTATAAAATTGGAGATGTCCGTTGGTATATAAAATAAATAAATAAATAAATAATCTCAACGTGAGCTTGAACATTATATGTTTAGACTCGCTCACTTTAATAGAATTTTATTTAGGCCTGATCAAATTTGGTGTTAGCTTTCATACGATTAACCACACAAATTGATTGGATCGTTTGCTACAAAAAATATTAAACTCCAATTTTTTTCATATTTTTAGTTGTTTGGTTGGTGTACCGGTACTACTAAGTTACCAGTATGGTTAACTTAGACCTAGAGAATTTACCAAATATTTATTCTCTAATTTTACATAGGCTATCTCTAAATTGGAAAAGTTCATTCAATGTTTTAAAGTGGTAGCTGAATCATGGTCTTGTTATTTTTTAACATTTAAAGCTATTTAATAATTCCATCAGGCCCGGACTGGGACCATTTGAGGCCCTCAGCTACATGCTGGGAGGGAGCCTTTACCAGGGGAGTATTTTTTGTTAGATTTTTGTAAACAAGTTTTTTCTCTCACTATTTTGGAATTTTTTATAAGAAGGAAGACACTTTGCTAGGTTTATAATAATTATAATTTATAAATTATAATTTATAAAATACTAGGGTATTTACTTATATTAAGTCTATTATTTTTTATTAAAATCAACTTTATTATTTATTTACAACAATATAATACACACAATGTAGTGTCAATAAGTGTTATAACAGAGTTCAAACCAAAGTGTAGTATTATTCACACTAAATTTAATAAATTGTGTCAACATTATTTGTGTGGTAATAATAATCACAAAAAGATTTTAGGGATTTGAGAAATAATACTAACAAGACAAACACTGTATTAACTGTATTAACACTGTATCAGTAGGCCCACTTAACAACAAACCTGTTATCAGTATCACCAACACGAACTGGACACGAAAAAAGATCTTCAAAGTTTACAAGAAAGTCAAGAAGCCACTTTTGTTGGTTAGTCTATGGTTGTATTTACCAGTAATAACCAAGTTATAAATTGTTGTTTGAATTCCAACTGCTTATATTTTGCCATGTAGTAGGCCTTCTTAAAGAACCCGATTAAATTATTCTGCTGAGTCTGACAAAATAGGCTACATCTTTAGTTAGGCTTAGGGCTTTGTAACCGAGATTTATTTTTTCTAACTAAAATAACAAACTTGAACAAATATGGCTACAAATTTAATATGTTAATGGAATGTCTTGTTGTATTAATAGTCAAAGCTATTATGTTCTTAATAAAAACATGAATTTAAAATATAATTGTCTTTCCAGTAGAGCAAACTATTGCCCTTTATCACAAATCTTTTTTGTAGGCAAGACGATGCAGTAGCTGGTTGACTGACACTGAATTGTTCATTGTGCAATACTATCTGTACTCTCTGAATTTTCTTGTGTTAAAAATTTTAACAGTTGGATTTATGTGCTAGCCGTGTTTCATGCGTTATTACTGCATTTTATATGCGGTAGTGTTAACAAAAATCTATGGTTGAATTTCATCAATTTATTTTCGCATTCGAATTATTCCTATCCACTTCTAGGTATCGGTAGCGGCATTGACTCTTGCCGATAAATTATTCTCGATACACATACTAATGTTCCAGAATTTGTGGCATTGAGAATCGACACATCCCTACCGGAAAGATTCCAGTACCTTTTTCTTCTTTTCCTGTCTTTTTGCGCTGTCTTTATGCTGAATAATCAGCTAGAGCATCACTTTGCCGTTGTCTGCTTCTGCTAACCACAACATGCCACAACACAAGTCACTGCGCAGACGATGTATTACAATTACACTACAACAACGTAACTCTACTTTCAATAGGCTACAGTATGTTGCATCATTGACTATATATCATAACTATATACCAAGCTATGGTTTATAGTCAATGGTTGTATGCCTTTATATAAACGGCAAGATACAAACTGTTGTTAAACACATTTATCTAGTTTGGAAAATGTAAACAAAACGTTACTAAAAACATTTGATAACTTCTTGTTATATAACCCTTGTTAGAAACCCCGGCAGAAGAGGGCCCCGAAGGAGTATAACAAGTATAACAAAATTTTCTTGTAATTTTTAAGCAAGAAGGGGCCCTCTTCTGCCGGGGGCCCTCCGCGATCGCGGACCTAGCCAGTCCGGGCCTGAATTCCATAATAATTAACTTATCCTATAAGGCAATTTAAACTAACAATTTAACCTATTCAAACTAGGAATAGGTTTTAAATAAATCGGACCTGTACATCAGACTGAAAAACGTGCAGTCCTCATATGAAGACACTGGTGTAAGACTATTTAATAGGCTGCCCAATAATGCTCACTTAGTAACGTTTAATAAATTTATGAAAATAAATAAGTGTTTGGTTAGCTGAAAATCTGTTCTACAATATTAATGAGTTCCGGTTTTAAGAAACTGATTGTAGCATGCTGTTCATGTTAGATTATTAGGCTTATAAACTCCTTTACCATGCTTGTTATTTATTCATTAAGATTTATATTCGCTAGATCTAGTTTTTTATCCAATCTGACACAATCTGCATGTATGAATTAGTCTATAGATTAGGTTTAATAACACCTCTGTACCTGTGATAGTTTTTACTGTTCCGTGATTTGAATTTATTATTTTTATCAAGAATTTTATAATTCATACTTTGTGCATGTTGTTTAGCTTGATCAGGCCCACTGTATTGTTATGTAGCCTATTTTACATTTTGCTCTATAGTATTTTTTTTTTTTTATGTTACTCAACACCTTAGTTCAAACTTTCATTGTAACCATTGCTTCCTTATTATGAATTATAATGTCTTCATCTGTCTTTATACTTGTAACAGAGTTCTGCATTTGCATGTATTGTTTTTGGTCATTGAATTTTATTGCATGTTGCATGACAAGATCTATTGTACAGTTGTATTTAATGATCAGCAAAGAATCTGAATCTGAATCTAACGTACTGATCCCTAATTGGCACTGGGTTTGAAATTTTACCTTATAATATCATAGCCTCCTCTAGTACAAGGCCAGGGGGTTGGTGTGTGGCTACATCGCACTGGCCGGCCTATGGCCATGGCCTATTTGCCAAAGAAAACAAACCTGTAAACATAAACATTGCACAGATGTTCCATTATAAATTATTAGTGCAAAAAAACTGTTTCAGTAGGCCGATGCTGCAGCATTGCTACTTTTATCTCGCCGCGGCCTTGTATTAAAGGAAGCTGTGATATTATAACCAAGCACACTTAATAACAACTAATTATCATTATATATAATTTCATATTTTGCACAATGTTGTTTTTTTTATATTTTCAGTGCTCACCAGAAATTCAAAGCACTTGCCCCTGAAAAAGTAGGACACAACAGGAATGCCAAGTTACCAATGGCCAAAGTTTTGCAATATCCAGAATTGAAAGTGAATCCCTTCGGCGACCGTATTTGTCGAGTGTTTAGTTCTAGTCATGATGGGGATTGTACCTTTGAAGACTTCCTGGACATGATGTCTGTGTTCAGTGATGCTGCGCCTAAAGCTGTAAAAGCTGAGCACGCTTTTAGAATTTTCGGTGAGTAAACAGTACAAGCAATTGTCATGCAATAGAGATTGGGTTAAATACTTTTTTTTCAAATATTATACTACTAACAAGTAGAACGGGCAAACAGCTAGTAAAAAATAAAATGATATTTACTAACAAAGATTTACAGTTTACAATTTACAAATTACAGCACACTTAGAAATTTACCAGTACGATGTGATGGTTGTGATCAACCTATGAATCTTACACATGCTTTAAATTGTAAAAAAGGAGGATTGATCAAACATGGGCATGATCAACATCGAGACCACTGTGCTGCGATAGCAAATATGGCCTGGAAAGGGGTTGAAGTCGAGCCTATTATGAGAGAAGCTGGCCCTGTAAACAATGTGCCTGCTTTAAAAGCTGATTTTAAAGTTAATATTTGGGAGGCTGAGAGAGTAGCGTTTTTTGATAATCGCATTGTTAATGCGCTCCCTCTTACGCCAACCAAGAATGGGGAACAATATCTCGAAACCATGCCGTTCAGAAACACAATAAATATGACAAAGCAGCCGAAGACATCAGAGGAAGCTTCACACCATTAATATGTTCCACGGAAGGAGTCCCCCATAAAGAATATGAAGCGTTTCAGAGGAGAACAAGCGAAGCCCTGGCTGTAAAATGGAGAAAACCATACTCCCAAATTATCGGATGGTTGAGGATCCAAAGCCAGCTTTCCATCATTCGAGCAGTTTCGCTTAGGCTACGGGGAACTAGACGAAAAATTCGAAGCATTCAATTTGAAGATGGTGCCGCAATTCCCCCATTGCTCTATTGAGCTTTCATTTTATTTTTTTATACATCCCAAGTAGCTAGTATTTTAAAATTTAATGTTTTATTATGTAATATGCAAATTATCACATTTACAGTTTGCAAAATTTATCAAATCCTAGATAAGGTGATTGTTTGTCTTAGAAAAAAACACATAGGTAACCAAGAAGTAATATGCTTAGGCCTATATGTGTACCCATCGGACCATCATAGAAAATTAATTAAAATGTTTGTGCAATACCTCAAAATTGTATCACTGTTATGTCCAAAATAAAACTTTTACAGTTATTTAAGTTTTTAGATTCACAGTTATTCCTTCACAATATAATTGCATCATGTTTTTAGACTAATTTTTACTGTCTTAATTTGAAGATTTTCAAAATGGCAAAACCACAAACTTCCAGAACCAAATTTAAAAAGTTGTAAGAGCGTACTAGAGGGCTAAACCGTCCGGACCCTGACGCGTGAGAGTTTGAGTGTATGACTGTGTATGTAGTAGTTAGGGTCGCCTAATCCTATAGAGTCCATCTGGCCTCTGCCAGAGTATGGTAGGATGTTGCTCAGTCTACACAATAATATTAAATACCCATGCCGCAGCAAACCTGCAGACTAAGCGAATTTCCATTTGACTGATTGGATTTACACTGAAATGTCTACTTAAAAATATAACATTTATTCTTGATTTAAATAGAATTAGTTTAACAAGTACTTAGGTTTGCTGCATCAGGGAGGGTAAAACTGTTTTTTTTTTTAAATGTGAATAGTTTCGTAAGAAATAAAAACATTTTCCAAATTTGATCAAAATATGTTCACAAACAAGCAAACTACAACAGTTTACTTATTCTCCATAAGAATAACATGGGAATTTTAAATTTAAGATTTTTTGGAATTTTCTCCGTAACAATTAGGCGCATAATAACGCTTCAATATACTAAGTTATTTGTTTTTTTAAGCTCTACAAAATGGTTTGGAAAGAAATTGCTAAATTTTATGTTTTTTGGGTCAAAAATGGGAAAACCTATTTTTACCCCATAAAACCCCCCCGTAAACCCCCGTTCCCATGGTCCGATCATGCTGGATCGCGAACTCGTTCAAATAAACGTACGTTTACACGTTTGTACCAAATTTCATCAAAATCGGATCATTTTTGCTCGAGTTATCGTGCTGACGGACACATATATCGTCCCCTTCCAGACGAAAGGTCGTATCTCAAAAAAATCGATTTTTGGGTTACGACGGTTCTGGAATCCCAAAAGTGTCCTCTACACATCAGACGAACCGGCGTATCTCTATCTCCTTGCGTTTAGAAGATATAGCTCTGTAATAGTACGTCGTATCTTCATATTCTGGAATTATGTTCCAGCCGAACTGGCGTATCTTGTGATACGACGTTTTGTCTGAATTATGAAAATGATTAACAGGTCACTCTAAGTGGCGTATCTCAAGATACGTCTATTCGTCTGAACTTGGCTTTAAACACAATAAATTGGAAACGTGGCGTATCTCAGATTCATATTAATCTTAAACTTTTATTTTGTTACAGATTTAATTGTGAAACACGAGAAAACTTCTTGACCAATTCTGTTGAAGACTCAATTGCATGAAAAAATGAAATTTAATCAAAAGTGCAAAATTATTATCTCTTTGGCTGAATTAAGATGAACTGAACTGAAAGAAGATTCAGAATTGAAGAGAAAAGGAAATAGACAATTGTTACAGAGACTTGATTTTAATTAGAAAGAGTGAATTTCAATATAAATTATATTGAAATTCATTCTTTTAAAATTTGTGTTTAATAATTTATTTTCTCATTGGATGTAAATTGGAATATAAATTATGAATAAATTTAGGTCCAATGAGAATTTAAATTAGGTTAAATTCTAATATATTTTTGTTACAGATAAATTTTGAAAATTAGAAGATAATACAATGTCTAATTCAGACAGCTCGGATGATGAGCCACTAGTGAAAAAGTTAAGAAAATTGAGTGCTGAAGATGAAATTCCTTTAGTTTTTTTTGCAAAACAGAAAGATGAATATGAATATTCTTCATATAGTGAAATTGACGACTCGGACAAAGACTCAGACTTTATTGGACGTTGTGAAGTGAAACGCTGTTTAGAAGAAATATCGGATTCATGTTTGTATTGTGAATTGTGTTATTGTACATCTCATTCCAATACACACAAGCCCTGCTACAAAACAAAAAAGACCAAAAAGGTTATTGTTACAAAAAGCAAAGCTACTGGAAAACAAGTAGAAGAACACTTTCAGACTGAAACGTAAGATGACAATTTATATGGAAACCAACATTGCGAAGTTCCAAATTGCAATGGAGAGACTTTTAGTGCATGCCATAGATGCACTATTCTGCTATGCTGGCATCATTTTGAAAACAATGATGACTGTACTGGCCATACAAGTACTACCACTACTACTATACAAACTGACTTTCAACCTGAAAATTTTGAAGAAAGACTATTGCCAGAAGAGTTTACCATTGATGGTGGGGATGACCGGCATAGACCAAAAAAATCACCTAGGAAAAACAGAAAAAATATTGCTAAAACTGCCAAAAATAAAGGCCAAGAGTACATAAGTCCTCACACAAAGAAAACTGTGGCTAAAAAACAACTAAGAGATGCATGCCTGACTGAAACATGTAAAAAGTTAGGGAAAGAATGTTATATGATTAATGATGACAATAGGCTGCAAATTTTCTTAAATTTCTATGACTTAGGAAGTTTGCAGCTCCAAAGAGAATTTATCGCTCGCCATATAGAAGTCTCAGACAAAAAATCAGGTAAAGAGGAATCACGCCGCCAGAAGTCGCTAAAGTACTACCTCACAGTAAATGGTGTTCGACTTAATGTGTGCAAAAAAATGTTTTTGAATTCTTTGGATATTTCTGATAGAACTGTTAGAACTGTAGTTGGTAAATTAACGGAAACTGGGATGGTTGAACCCGATAAAAGAGGTGGCCGCCAGTCAAAATCAGTAGAGGAGAAGGAAATGAAAAACCGACAGCTAATTGATCAGCATATCAACAGATTTCCTCACGTTGAAAGCCATTATTGTAGAGCCAACAGCTCTAGAGATTACCTGCACCCCGATTTGACACTCCCAAAGATGTATAACATGTTCAAACAGGAATATAAGGAGCTGCTAAGAGAAGACATGCCTAGTCTTGCAACTTACAGAAGGGTGTTTGTTACCAAACACCTTTCATTTCACCGACCTAAGAAGGATCAGTGCTCACTTTGCATGACGTATAAGACTGGAAATGACACTGTTAAACAAAAACTTAAAGTACAGTATGATTCTCATGTAAGAGAAAAAGAGACTGTAAGAAAAATAAAAGACAATTGCAAGCTAGAATCTACAGAGGATAAAACGAAAATGACTGCCTCCTTCGACTTGCAACAGGTCATCCACCTACCAATAACTAAAGAAAGTGCACTATTTTATAAGCGACGTTTAGCAGTGTTCAATCTTACTGTTTACGACATAGGAAATAAAGATGTAGGTTGTTACACTTGGGATGAGACCCATAGCAAGAGGGGAGCGAGCGAAATATCTACTTGTGTTTTTAAAGCACTTCAAAGTTTTGATATGAAAGGAGTCAAAACTGTCAATTTATTTTCTGACGGATGCCCAGGACAGAACAAAAATTCTATAGTACCAGCCATGTTGCTGTACTCAGTTGCACATAGCAGAAATATTGAAGAAATAAACTTAAGATACTTTGAGGCATACCACGGTCAGAATGAAGGGGATTCCTGCCATTCTGCCATCTCTTATGCACTAAAGCAAGCGGGGGATATTTTTGTGCCTTCCCAGCTTCATCCGATTTTCAAACTTGCTAGAAAAGACAAACCTTATTCAGTCCATCATCTACAGTTCAATGACTTTTTGGATTTTAAAGAATTGTCACAACAGCTTAGAATTCTTAAAGAAAGAGAAGTGCAAGACGATAGCAACGCAGTTGTTGACTGGACCAAGTTTGTAGAGTTAAGAGTATGCAAGAGCAACCTACAACAAATACATTTTAAAACAAGCCATATGGATTCTGATTACAAAACAATCAATTTGAAAAGACAAAAAAAAACATAAGGGACCTCAGTGTTAAGCCTCTGAATAGGACACGACGAAGTATCCCACATGCAAAATACGTGGACCTCAAGTCTTTGTGTGAAGGCAACACTCCTGTCATACGAAATGATGAGCACAAGAACTTCTTCGCTCAATTAAGATCGGAATAAAATAACAGTCACTGATGAACAAACTCAGCCTTACTCCTAGTTTTATATAAACTTTACAAATAGCATCATTTTACAGTCCTATGGGCTAATTGTTAGGCAGCTTGAGCAAGGCAGTCTTTTCTCTTTTTATTATTTCTATTTTTTATACAAATAGTAGTCTAAAATGATTTAGGTTTTATAATATGGTAGTATTTTTTAATTTTATGTTAGGAGGATATTTTTATTTCATTTTAAAATCTAGTATCAAAATAATAAGAAAATAAGTTTTGGTTCTTTTTTACTAAGGTATGCAACATGTATTTTTATACCTGTTATTTAGTAGTAAATGATTTAGGTTTTATGTGGTAGTATTTTTTAATTTTATGTTAGAAGGATTATGTTTTATTTAGTTTTGTTATCTATTATCTCAATAATAATAGGACTAAGATGATAATACGTTTTTTTATTAAGTACGGTATGTAAAATGTTTTTGACAACTGTTATTTGGTAGTATTATTATAAAAATGAAAATGATTTAGGTTTTATGGTAGTATTTTTTATTTTATGTTTAGAAGATATTTTTATTTTGTGTTATTCTAGTTTCTATAAAATTATTAATAAATAATAAGAAGATAGGTGTAATTGTTTGTTCTTTTCAATAAATAATATGCAAAATGTATATTACACCTGTAATTTAGTAGTATAACATTATAAAATTGTTACATAACCTACAACAGTAGTTATATTATGAAACATGCTTAAGTAACAAAATTATAAGGTTAAATAGGAAAGTTAATTATGTTTTACTAAATAACATCCATTTAATAAATAAAACTTGGGCTGAAACATTTTTTTCTCATTTATTACCAATTATAGTAATTATTTGTTGTAATAAGTAATCATTCAGTTTGGTTGAAATTTAGTATAACTTCATTATTCAACCATCACTGCCTTTAATAATTCAGTCGTATCTTACTATACATACTGGTTCCTGTGTCAGACGAACTGACGTATCTTCAATATATATGTCATATCTTACTATACATTCTGATTTCTGTTCAGACGAACTGACGTATCTTAAATAAATATATATATTTTTAGTTAATTACATATTTATTATTAAGCTATTATACTCAATGTAATCATTGACTCTTCTTCTATTAGCAATAAAAAAATGATTTGTCTACATATTCTGAGTAAAGAGCTATAGTAAAAAGAGTAAAGGCACTTTCAGTTTTTTGGCTCTCCTGAAAAATTACCGAAATCGAGATACGACTTTTCGCCTGGAAGGGGACGATATATATAAATATATATATATGAATTTGAACGGATGGTGTTTTTGGCCTCTAGGGACCTCAAAACGAAAAAAAAAATCGGTCCCGCGTCCAGGTCTTACCATGAGTACTACGGTAATAGCTTATTCCCTATATGGGAAATTCGCTAAAATGTATACCTAATAATCAAAAAAAATTATAGCATTCTATTATTATTTATTAAGGTGGTTGCAAGGATTCCGAGGTGGTAGTGGGTGGCTAGACCATAAAGTTTGGGGTTTGCTGTTCTAGACCTGGATTAATCATTATAGGCCAACACTATCCAGAACATTCTGGAATGGTTGGAATTATTGCAAAAAATATATAAAATCCAAGCACAGTGTTAAAAAATCTGAAATATTCTTTCTACGTGATTCTGCACCAACTACCATTGTGTATTTTCATAGCTCATTTTGAAAGTGTAAAACATCCTTGAGCATTCCAGTACACAAATATATTATATATAGTGGCGTTCCCATATTAAGTAATTGATAATTGATGTACAAATGTATCTGACCACTTTACTTTTTGTATTTGTTCACCTAACTCTTTTTGATATGATTTTTAAGATTTTGACGGAGACGACATGTTGGGAGCGTCAGACCTGAGGCATGTGATAGATCGGTTGACTGGGCCACAGCGACTGTCTGAAGTGGATGTCCAGATACTCATACAGAACATTTTGGACGAAGCGGACCTCGATGATGATGGAGCCCTGTCATTTGCTGAGTTTGAGCACATTGTGGACAAGTCTCCTGACTTTGCCAAGTATGCACTGAATCAGGATATTTGAGTTTATAGTACTCTCAGGGACAGGGGCAGATTTATCTTATAATCACTTTTAATAAACATTTTGCGGTCTTACTAGAGGGTCACTGAACAGAACATGCATACATAAATTTAATTTCAAGACGTTCTAAACTTCTAAGTCTTACATTGTTATCATATCACATAAAAAGTTAAAAATGCTTAGTTTTACCTTTTTACCATGAAGATTAGAAGTTACCTTGGCTATAAATAAGTTATAGACTACAACAATCTAAAAATGTTCTTAACTATTTAAGTCATGGTTTCAGATTCAAGTAATTTTCCTCATCTTAACAGATGAACTAACTGTACATAGATTACAGAATTAATATTCATTTTTTCATATTTTTTATATTAGTAGCCTCCAGATTATCAAGATACACCAAGTGGTTTAAAATGCCTGTATGGTTGGTAATCGTCGCTTCCTCTTAAGGTCGTCACAATCCACCAATATTTTCAAACATCGAAACATTAAAAACATAACTTGCATGACTAGATTTAACAACGCGGCCGGCAAGAGTTTGTAAAATGTGACAACTTAGAAGAAGCGACAATGTCAAATCAAATCAAAAGATCTTTATTCATATTTGTAAATACATGTTTACATGAATAGTGTCAAACAATTAACATAAAAATAATTACATGATTAGGTAGGCTACAATCAAAATTATTAGTAGGACAGTATTGATCACACTACTCCAGGTTGCAATGGTTGGTCTGAATATTAAGATCTATTATCTGTTCTAAACTTAAGAAAGTCATCAAATGAATAAAGTGCCCTCTGTATCAAAAATTCTTTCAATTTCACTTTGAAACCTCTTATCATCCTGCATGCTTCTTATGTGATCTGGTATGTGATTTAGGAATCTGATGCCGTTGTATGAAGTTTTTCTTTTGAACAATTCTAATTTATGATTTGGTAATACTACTTTATTTTTAGCGAATTTCCCATATAGGGAATAAGCTATTACCGTAGGTCTCATGGTAAGACCTAGACCCGGGACCGATTTACTTTTTCGTTTCGAGGTCCCCAGAGACCAAAAACACCATCCGTTAACATTCATATATATATATAGCGCGATAACTCGAGCAAAAATGATCCGATTTTGATTAAATTTGGTACAAACTTGTAAACCTACGTTTATTTGAACGAGTTCGCGAACCAGCATAATCGGACCATGGGAGCAGGGGTTTATAAGGGGTTTTATGGGGTAAAAATGGGTTTTTCCCATTTTTTACCCTAAAAACAAAAAAATTTGCAATTTCTTTCTCAACCATTTTGTAGAGCTTAAAAAAAGAAATAATTTAGTATATTGAAGCGCTGTTGTATGCCTAACGGTCACGGAGAAAATAAAAAAAGTGTAATTTAAAATTCCCATGTTATTCTTATGGAGAAAATGAAAACTGTTGTAGTTTACTTGTTCATGGATATATATTGATAAAATTTGGCAAATTTATTTATTTCATCCTATACTATTGACATATGGTCAAAAAACACTTTTTACCTTCCCCGTAGCAGCAAACCTAAGCACTTGTTAAATCTAATGTTATTTAAATTGGGAATAAATATGTCTTATTTATGGAAATATTTTAGTAAAAATTTAATCAGACAAGTTGAAATTCGCTTAGTCTGCAGGTTTGCTGCGGCGGGGGTATTATTCCTAGTGTTATAGCTGTGGATATCTTTATTTGTAATAAAACTATTTATATTAGTTTTTACAAACATTATGCATTCTAAAATGTATAAGCTGTAAACAGTCAAAATTTCAAATTTAGTAAAGAAAGTTTTGACAGATTCATTGTTCTTAAAGTTTTATATGGCCCTTAATGCTCTTTTCTGTCCAATTAGTATCTTTGTCAAATTTTGAGCAGATGTTCCACCGTAGACACAGATCCCATAAGAAACATGGGATTGAACATTGGCAAAATAAACACTTTTTAATACATTCGTATCGCAGAGATAATACAGTCTTCTGATGGCATAGATTCCTGAGTTAATTTTCTTTAAGACATTATCCACGTGCAGATCCCAACTTAGATTTCTATCAATGATAAGGCCAAGAAATTTAGTATTTTCAACTTGCATAATTTCTTCACTATCTATGTAAATATTTATTTCCTCTTTAATTTGTCTTTGTTTAGTGCAAAATGATATGCAGTTAGTCTTTTGAGTGTTCAAAATTAAATCGTGAGTGATAAAGAAATCTTTAATTTTTGCTAACTCCACAAAGGAGTGAATTTCTAATTCTATACCAGTTTTTGCAGACATTATAAGGTTTGAATCATCGGCGTACAAACAGAGCTGATTTTTGATAGAGTTTAATTTACTTAGGCAATTCGGCATATCACTTATGTAGCAGATAAATAATAATGGTCCAAGTATTGACCCTTGGGGTACTCCATATTTAACTTTTTCTGATGTAGACTGAAATTTAATGACTTGATTTTTCTCAGTTCTTGATACTTCTACATATTGTTCTCTATCAGTTAGGTATGATTCAAACCATTTTAAATATGAATTCCTGATTCCTAGACTATTAAGTTTGTCAATCATTTTTGGGTGGGAAATACTGTCAAACGCTTTGGATAAATCCATAAAAATTCCGGTGACTTTCTCTTGCTTATCTAACGACTCTATGATTGATTCAACAAAACTTATTAAAGCAGTGGTAGGGGATTTATTTTTCCGAAAGCCATGTTGTTCGTGATTAAAAAGATCATATAGTTCTAGGTGTCTTATGAGATTTAATTGCATTGCTTTTTCAAACATTTTTGATATAGATGGAAGAAAAGAAATTGGTCTATAATTTTGAATATCCGATTCTTCACCCTTTTTGTACACTGGTATGACCTTAGAGATTTTAAGTTGTTTTGGAAAAATGCCTGAAATAAAGGAAGAATTTATTATATGCTTTAAGGGTTTTAATAGGGACTCCTTAGCATATTTAATAATCTTTAATGGAAATTCGTCAAAGCCACTGGACCATTTATTTTTAAGAGCGTCGATTATTTTATTTATATCACTTTCGTCAATTGGCGGACACCTGAAAGTTGGGATCTGTTTATTACTTCCCTTCATAGAACCAACAGCTTGATTTGATCTATCATCTAACATATTTTCAATTATACTGACAAAAAAGTTATTAAAACTATTGGCAACATGCAATGGGTTTGAGATTTCACAATTAAAACATGATTTTGTTGTAAGTTGGCTGGAGTTTTTCTTGTCTCCTTATTAATAATTTCCCACACAGTTTTACTTATATTTTCAGAGTTTTTAACTTTATCACTATAATAATTACGTTTTGCACTCATGACATTCAATTTATATTGCTGCGTTTTTTCTTTAATTGAGTTTTAAGAACCTCCGACCCAGATTCTTTAACTAGGTTGTTTAATTCAATGAGATCATTTTTGTTCTTTTTTAGATTCTCTGTAATCCAATTCTTGCTGTTTTGGTGCTTGTAAATTTTTTTCCTGACTTTTGGAAAAGATAAATTAAAGTAATATTGAAAAATATTGTGGAACGTGTCATATTTACTCTCTATATTTGAATTAAAAAGAGTTAACCAATTTTCTTTTTCCAATAATGATTTGAACAGTTTCATATTGTCTACAGAAAAATTTCTACCCCAGTAATTTAGAGTAGTATTATCTATCTTTTTAGGACATGTGAGTAGTTCCATGAGTTGACCATCATGATCTGATAAGGCTATTACAATACCCTCAGTTTTAATTTGATCCTCATTAATGTTAGTTAAAATATTATCTATGCAAGTTTTTGAGGTATTTGTGACTCTTGTGGGAAAATCTATTATATAATTCATACCACATCTCAGGAGAATACTTTTTAACTCTTTTAGCTCTGGTGAATCTTTAAGAGTGTCAATATTAAAGTCCCCAATTATAATCAAATTTTTTTCTTTTCTTACTAGATTATTAATTAGTTTATTTAGTCGGTTTAAAAACTCTGAGTTTTCAAACTGTGGGGTTCTATAAATTCCTACCAGCAAAAAGTGGAAATTATCTACTTTAAATTTAACACAACAAAACTCCAACAATTTATCTTGGCAAAGCTCTTCTCCCATTTTTAAGAGCAGTGGTTTCCCCTTTTTGCTCTCCTTTGACAAGATTAAAACACCTCCTCCAGTTGTTGTGGTGCGAGAATAATGAGCTATTTTTTTGTAGTTATCAAGGTTAAATCTTTCCATATCATAGTTATCCATGTTATGTTCTGTTAAAACAATTATATCAGGATCTATCTCTGTTAATGATACTTCCAATTGTTCAATTCGAGTTATTAAATTTTGAATATTTTGATGAAAAATCTTTAGATTTCCTTGTAAAGTTTTAAACGATGGCTCCTTTGTGAGCTGAAACTAGTTGCCACAGCAACCATTTGGATTACCAACAATACATGTATTAAGGAACCCCGCCAAGTCCCCCAGCGGTACACAGCTGCTGCAGTGTATATATACATGACAGGATAAAGTGGTTTTTTCACTCGTCTATAGCTCTGAAGAAACAAAAGCTATTAAAATAATTGTCCATCTATTGGATAGGGGCACTCATTCTCAACAAAATTAAAAAAAGAATTTAAAAAACGGTTGTGTTTGAGCCAAGAAAAACTAGTTTGAAAATTCACAAATTTTACGTGTTCTCCTTCTCCTCCTTCTCCTTGAATGTTGACGGACCTACAGCCCAAACCACTGGCTCAATTTTAATGTTCTTTTTGTTGTTTGAAAGCCTTTAACGTGTAGATGTGCCTTTTGAGGGTCTCAAGTCGGTTAGTTGACCCATAAACCCTTCGCAAGCCCTCAAAGTACGATTTTGGCCCATTTAAATAACATGGGATTAAAATCAAAACAAAAGAAGGACCAGTTGTGATTACATCTCAATTATTTTCAATGTTAGAGAAATTCATAGGAACAGCTGAAAAAATATTTTAAAACTTTTATAAAGTACTAGCTGTACTCGCGGGCTTTGCCCCGCTTAACTTCATAAATATTCGCATGGCTCTATTGGTTGAAGTTCGTTCGCTACGCTCACTCACCTTCAGGTTGCAAATCGTTCGCTGTGCTCACTTGTTTTCAGGTTAGCTCGTTCGCTACGCTTACTCGCCTCCAGGTTGATATTCGTTCGCTACGCTCACTCACCTTTTGGTTGCAAATAAACTGGTGTTATAAATTTTAAAAAGTCATCCCTTAAATTGTTTATAATACTTTGACAAAGGTTTTTATGTTTCAATATTTAACATTGGAGAATTTAAACGTTGTTGAGTGCACAGGTGTGCTGCGATTGGGGTTTAATACATTTGGACTTATTAAAAAGTAAAATAGTTTTCTGTGTTGCACTCTGTAGAAACACTGTGGCACTATTTCAAATCATGACTAAAGCTAATACAGAATGTTGTGATTATTCAAACCTACAAAACAGTTGGTGAAAGTAAACATCTGCTTTTAAATTATATTTATTTGTAAACATTGTAGATCAAAAAGTCTGACATTGGCCCACTTTAAACCCTCTAGGGCAGAGCCCTTTTGACGGATCTGCACCAAACTTCACTCGAACCATCCTTGAAAGATGCTTAACAATGCCCGAAAGTTTCATTACAATCTGTTGAGCGGTTTCGGAGTCCACAACGTATATACACACACACACACATACATACATAGTTCCTCTTTTATAGATATAGATTTTACTCAGGTATACCGAATGATTTGAACTACTTACTATATAAAATTACTTAGAGCAGTGATATTCCCCGATACTTTCCATTGAAAAATGCAGTGTACCAATGGTACACTGGTACAGCAGCTCGTAATTTTTAACAGTTTAACTAGTGTCCCTGTTGCTCGAATTCGAGCAATTGCTAAGTAAATATTTGTAGAAAACTGTTATAATACTATATTAGCAAACTTATTGACTGTTTAGAATTAACCTATGCTCTTCTTCTCACTTTTGATTTCTGACAACAGCTGGAGTTTCATAACAATTTTTGTTTCCAATGTTAATCTTATGGAGAAATACGAAACTTTAAAGGGCTCCAGGGCCTGACTCTCTCATTATTTCCCTAAAAAGAAAGTTTCCTGCACAACTTCACGCTACGCTCTTTCCAATGACACCAAAAACATGACAATCGGTTCAGTAGTTTCGGAGGAGTAATTGTCACAAAAATCCTGCTTGCGTATTAAATAAGTATAGATACTACTTATCAAAACATATGAAACCTAGGAACTAGAAACTTAGGACTTAGGTTTGTTTTATGTTTTGATACACTAAAACAAATCAAACAATCGGGAAATTCACTCTACGTATGTTAAACAAGCAATTAGAAAGTGATATGTAAATTTAGGATAAATGAGTTTTTCAATATTTGATTGCCTTATGCTATTTCTAACAATCCTAATCTGTTTGATTACATTTTAACTACTCTAATAAGGGCTCAATTTACACTAGTCTTTAGATATACGGGTTTAATTATCAGAACACTTATGTAACACCATCGCATTTTATGTTGTTCAAGATGACCATTGATGAAATTTGAAACTGATATTAAAAATAAATAAAATCTAACAAAAAACCACTAAGTGGTAACACTCTCCCCGCCAAGTCAGCAATCCAAAAAAGATAATAAATCATTACTTTTTCCGCCAAGAAAAACAATGCAATGTATGTAATGTAAGTTTGGCAACTTGGGGGCAGACTTTTGCTCGATCACTTTAAAAAATACCATAAAACTAGTTTCATTGAGCAAGTATCTCCCCCATTAGTACATTGCTATGTGAGAGCTTATTTTACAAAATTTGACCTTATTTGTGCCACATTTCATAAAATCATAATAGTGATGGTTTTATATTTACTGATTACCTCGAAATTATTATACTTAGTTGGACTAATTAATTAGAGAAATTGATTTGTACAATTATCCACGAACGTAACTTTAATGAAAAAAACCAAGCAAAAGTCTGCCGCCAAGTTGCCAAACTTACATACATTACATTGTTTTTCTTGGCGGAAAAAGTAATGATTTATTATCTTTTTTGGATTGCTGACTTGGCGGGGAAAGTGTTACCACCTTGTGGTTTTTTGTTAGATTTTAAACTACTTATTGTTATTATTTTTTTCATAGTTTATTTACTATTAATGTGTAGTATTTAAAGCTGAATTTGAATTTGCCAAAAAATGTAGCCATTATTAGGTTTAACCAATTATTTGTTATTAATTTGAATGCTGAGTGAATGAAGAATGGAGTGAGATGAGCTTATGTAGCTTATTATTATGAGAATATAATATGTAGAACGTACACATATTTTTGAGTGATACAAGTATTAGTGCTTCATTATTTTTTTAATACTGCCTTTAAATAAAATAATCTTTTTGCTCGCGTGATGAACCATACTTTTTGTTATATTGCAACACCATTAAGTTACACACAAACTAAGTTAATCTGTATAAAGGATATCCTCTCAAAACAACTTCCAACTTGTTTACAATTTTGCTAATGCAAACAAGCAGCTGTTTGGTAATGATGATTCAATTAATTGGTCTATTTGATTGTGTTAATGTACATTATACTATCGATTTGTCAAACAATTGACAATAATGGACCAATACCAAAAATTTTTCTGGATTGTCAACTGATTAAATCATCAATATATAATTTTGATTCATGCGAATGTTTATAATCAAATTTGACAACTGAGTTTATATTGGCTGACTTTTTCTCCATATGGAGTAAAAAAACTACACCTGTAACATATTTAAACAGCTGTTTTTGTTGCAGTAAGATGTAATAGTATATTTCGTACTTAGGGCCGAAAATGAGGTTTTGCAGGCTCGAGATAGCTCTTAAGCTCGAGACGAAGTCGAGAACTTAAAACGATCGAGAGCTGCAAAACCATTTCGGTCCGTGGTACAAACGCTATTTTTCACCACACTATACCCTATTAACACAATAGTGGTGAATACACCACAATAATAATGCACACTGATAGTCAACACAACTACAACTTTAATGTTATGTCGTAAAGAAATAATTTGAGGAATCAGCAAAAATAATAATAAATGGTTGCTAGGCAGCGGTGACAATAAAACAATTCTATTGCAATGCTATGGATACTGATTGTGTATTTAATATGCATTCATGTTTGAAGAAAGTAAGTGGGCAGCTGATTTTGCGGCCCTAGGGATGTAAAAACCTGCTCGGTCCCCAAATGACCATGACAGCTGGCAAGGCCAGCAAAACGTAACTTTCAGCCAACAATTAACTTGTGTAAAACAGCTAAAAACATCATAGTGTGGTGAAAAGTGATATTAGTTTCACAACATTTTTCTTTGACTAAAATTGTGCTGTTTGTTTCAGTGTTTTTCGCATCCAACTTTGAGCAATTATTGTGAAGACATCACATGAATTTTTCATTCAACGCTTTATTTGCCAATCCATTCTAGTCTGAAGATGTGCTAATCAGGTACCTAATAGGTGTTTTTGTATGTTAAATACATTTTGTTGATTTAGTGATCATCTCAACATCATAATTATTATTAATTTTTACTAACCTAAATTAACAATGCCTTTATATTTATTTATTGTTGTTATACTTATGGAGAAAAGTCAATAAATTTTATACCATGTCTAAAATTTGTGTTTTAGTATTTTTCCTCAGATATGTAGTGTTGCCTTTGAAGGCATGTAATAATAATAACTGCTCACTTAGTCCAAGTTTCTTCAATTACTCACTTCAATGATTAACATAGGATAGGCCACTTGGTTGCGAGTTCACAATAGCGTGCTTTTAATAAATATTAGTTTAATTTTACAATAACTATAAATTATGGTAGAATACAAACTATTTACCAAAAAGAGTATTTGAGTACTGGGCTCGAATCAAGCTTTAGAAGAAAACTACATCGCTTCAAGAGTTGAGCTTTTTAATGAGTTTTCTGGAAACATTTATACGTGTACAGTATGGTAGAATCAACGCACGATCCTAGGTTATTTTAAAACTCATACTGTCAATTGACCTAAATATACTGAAATGCAGTTGTTATAACTGAGAAGAGATAAATAGCTTGGTTTGGATAGGTACCATAACGCTCCTTTCACTTTATACGGTTTCCGCCATCCGGTTGAAACAAACGATTTTACGTCGTATCCAAGTTTCTTTCACATTATACGGTTTCTTACTGTACGGATAGATAATTGTGTTTACAAAATCATGATGAACATAAACAGTGTAGGCCTACAATTGACATATCAGATTGTATATGATAATCATTGCAACAGCTGATCTATTTGCACTGGCTGGTGGGCTCCCGTTCCATAACCATGCAGTATGAAAGCTTTGCATTTCACTACACGCGTCACTGACGCACGGCGCACCAACTGTCAGGTTCAGTGGCAGTGGACGGCTGCAAAACGGCACTGTTTTCTGCGGTCGCCGTAATCGTGTAGTGTGAAAGTCTCATGTTGTTCTTTACACTTCTAACAAAAATTACCCATACAGTTTTTAACAGTACAGCAACAACCGTATAGTGTATACTGAAAGAGCAAGACTAAAATGTATATGAAATGACAAGGACAGCTTCCCAGATCTGAAGAATCATTACAAAAGCATTTTTTTAAAGTTAGGGTGTGAAGACAGATCTTTTTTGTTTGTATATTTATTTACTGTTGCATTATATGTAGTAACAAAGTCATAAGCATAAAGTTAACAAATAAACTGAGAAGATAACATGGAACGTTTTACTTTCCAAAATATAAATACAGCCATTTTTTCTTATTAAATAGTAGGCCTAGCTAACAGGGTTCCTTTTACAGCGATGACAAATAAGTAAGTTATGACAGTCAAAAATCATGTTTCTTAGTACTTAGTACATCCATACAATTTTGGGAAATTTGACATTTGAAGACGGCAGACAGGGAACAATACTAGAAGCAGGCATTACTGATTCTGATTATAAACATAGGTTTTGGATTTTTTAAGAGTTTACTGGTAAAAAAAAGTAGTAATTACAACAAATTATTTAATCAAATATAATTTATGCCATAGATGAGGTTTTTGAACATAAATGAAAATTGCATTGAATATGTAACCGAAATTTAACAGTGTTGTAAGTGTATTGAAGTGTAAAAATTAAGTATTTGTATTTGGAACTAATGTAAACTGTAGGCTAAGTGTTATTTTTAATAATCTTGCACATACAGTACTACAATGTACACACTTAATCGGTTTGGGAAGCTTTTGAAGCAATTATGCATCTCAAATCACTGTAAAAATACTCAACTTGATACTCACTAGATCCTTCTAAACTCAACTCGCCACATAACGATGGTGGAGTTAAAGAACAAAGAACCACAAAAAAAAAAAAAAAATAGCAAGTAAAATTTGACACTAGTATTAGGGGTCTGCGGGTCAGACTTTTTTGGTTCGGGTCGGGCCAATAATTTTGGTCCTCGGGTTTCGGGCCAAAATCGGGTCGGGCCAAAAATTATTAATTACCGGATTTTTTTGATTTTTTTAACTCCTATCTGTGTTTATAATATTACTTGAAAATAACATATGGAAAAAGATTGTATTTATGTATATTATTTCATGTTCATAACTTATTTACAGCTTAGGAGTTGCTTCAACTGCAAGAAAGAAGAAAATAATTTTTTTTATCAAGCCATTCTTTCCCATTTTCATAACTGTTGAAATATCTAAACAGCTATATTACAACAAGTTTGTAATGGAACTTAATATAAATGGATCATAAACAAATAAATTAACCTTATCACAAGTTTAGGGCCTGTGGCTTCAAGACTGCAAGCAAGAAGAAAATAAAAATTCTATGTTTCCACCATGCAATATGAATCATTCATTCCCTGCCTCCTAACCTCCTCTCACACTTACAATAGCATTATTAGTTACATCATCATAAATAAAGAATTATCTATTATTGGCATTAGTATGCCTACAGCTTTACATAGGAATTATTTTTTATAGGGCCTAAAATAGTAATAGACTAAGCAACATGACAAGTGGAGAACTCATTGAAGAAAAGATATTGTGTAAACTAATTTACTATAAAACTCTAAAACAATAAATAACACACATACATTGTTTATGGTATAGTTATAGTAAAGACTGTAAAAATTGCATATCATGTCATACACAGTTATAGATACACAGTTATAGATACACAGTTATAGATACACAGTTATAGGCACAGTTATAGGTATTGAAAGAGATTAAAATCCTAAAACAACTGATTTTAGGTAATAAATGAAAAGAATTAAAAATCCATAAACTCAAGTCAAACAATATCACAATTATTAGGTACCCGAAAAGGAACTCTTAATATATAGAAAATTATATTAAATCAAGAGAAAAGAAAGTTAAATGCTAATTTGGCAACATAAGCAGACAGCAGAGACATTATAGTGCCCTAATTAGCAACACAACTCAATGTTTTTATACTGTAAGTCAATGTTTTTGAAACTGTAGGGTCTTTTTCTCGGAAGGAAGGGTAGTAGAATGTAAACAAAAAACCATGAATCACTCTCACAGCCGGGCCCGGGGACACTCAAGGTTACAGACCCTCCCCCTCCCCTCCCCTCCCTTCTTACACAACCCGAGCCAGGCCCGGGGACACTCAAGGTCATAGACCCTCCCCCTCCCCCACCCCTATTACGCCACCCGGTTGTTCCAATTGCTGACAAAATACAAGTAACAAAACAAGGAAGTAGAGACAAAAAGATATATTTTCTTTATTCAAAAATATAAAACTGTTACAGATAATTTCCAAAGAAATTAATTCATGGTAGTTTGTGTCTTGTAAATATTGTATTGGATCTTAGAAATATCTTTTTTGAAACTCAATCTAACTTAAGAAAAAAATAATTTTACTGATGAAAACTTTCATAAAATTATAAAATATTTAGGCCTAACCTCTTTGTAGACTTGTTGATACTTGATACTTAAAAAAAAATTAAATGGTGACCATAAAATGCCGAACTAGACGATCAGAAGTGTTGTTTTGTTTTGTTACTGAATGACAAAAAGGACAATAGGAAAATAAAAGAACAAGATACAGATCTGTACACTATATCAGATATTTCTTTTGTTTATAATTTATTATGTAAATAAAATACTAAAATATAATTTAAACTAGGTATGGAATAAACAATAAATAATTAAACTGGTACCTCTGGAAAATAGTCTTTCTTTTGACTTCCTTTTCTTTGCACTGTTGCGTCACGGCTTTTGTTTTGTCAGTAGACGACTGGCTCTGGCTAGTGACAGTAAGGCAATAATTGCTCTGTTGTGTCTTTGTTCTTAAACGTGAGCAAACTTAATATTTAATTCTAATTTTAACATTTTAATTCCTCTGTAATAATGTATATAAGAGTGTTTCTTTGAAAATTACTTATTATAACTTTAAAAATAGCCTAATAATTATTTTTTTTGGCCCGAACAAATCTCTGGCCCGACTCGGTCTCTCGGGCCTTCCGCTGGCCCGACCCGACCCGAAAAAATCGGGGACCCGCAGACCCCTAACTAGTATATTAAGGATTGTCTGACAAGGTGGTACGTTTTTACTATTCTTAGAAGCAATCTTGTTGGTGTTGATAGTCAGCTACTTAAAAACACTTTTTCGGGCAGCTTGTACAAAATTATACATTCATTATCACAGCTAGCAAAAAAATATCCCCCCCAAAATCCTTAAAAAACGTTCCCCCCCAAAAATTCCTGTGGCGCAAACGCGCCACAGTACCCCCCCCCCTCTGGGCACCTCTGGACAAAATAAACATTGATATTATGTTTACATTGATATTATACATTATTATGTATAATAATATGTTGTGCATTTGGACTCTCAGGTAATTTTCCAAAATAAGCTAGCTGAACCTGTTCCCTTTTCAAAATTATGTTTGAAAAAGATAACTCATACAGTAACTTACATTTGAAAGACAATACAAAGATGATTTTACAGAGTACCTGAACCTCTACAGAGACTCTCTATCAGAAATTTCATTTTGTTACATTTTAAGGAAGTGTAAATGAATGATGAACGTTGCACTTTGAAATTAATAATACATTTTGTACAAACTAATTAACAATTGAGACTTTGCTTCACATTTGTCGACCTGTCTGTTTGTTATCCAATGGGAGGGTAGTAGACTGTCGGACTAAAGAGGACTGTGTAGAGTGGAACCCACTGGACTCTGTACTGAAAAATCCATTTCATGAAAAAATTAGTACCTAATATTTAAGTTGAATATAACAAATGTCAAATGATGTTCTACTTTTGTTCAGCAAAAACAGTTTTACTGAAAGTTTCTTGTTTAACTGTTTGTCCTTTAAGAGGTAGTTTATTAAACAGCCTCATACTCATAATGTAGAATGATTTTGAAGTTTTACTAATCCTAAATATATCAATAAATACTTTGTGACTTGTCCTGGTTGTGGTCATGGACCTGATTTTACTGTGTACGATTTTTATAATTATGTTTCACATAGACTAGACTAATAAATATATATGTATTTACAACAGTGGGGATATTTAGCTGTTTATACAGAGGTCTACTATAGTAATACCAGAAACAAAAGAACCCTGGGCCGTTTCGAGCCGCACAGGTTTGA